CTTTTTAATTCTGGCATATGACAGTATGACATTGTGGATTTTGCCAGAATCCGGTGTTTCGCTCAGATTACTTAATATTTTAGTATATTATAAACTTTGCTTTTTGTATGTTGGTAGTGAAAACCCAAGTTAAAATTTACCTACCTGAATGGGACTTGGGTAACTAAAGTATTACCAATGTTAGAAAATTCTATGAAAGACAAATCAAAGACGCATATTATTACTCTTAATATAATTACATAAGGTTATTACAAAAGGGGAGTTAACATAACTTAAGACTGCTCAATACCATTCATCTCACCCACACTATATTATGTTAACATAAACTCATCAATAATAATTTACATAGTTTCTAAAAGCGAAATGAATACTAAATGGGCCCGCTCACATCTCCATTTATTCATTTCTTTCTCAAAGGCTTAACTGATCCTCTCGCAAACAATTAATAAAATAAGTTTGTCTAAATGAATCAAAAACAAGAACTTGTAACAACAAGACATTATTTTGTAAATATTCGTTAGTATATTGGCTACTACCAAGATTAATTTCATTGTTTTGCTTACTTTCATCATCATCCCTTGGTTTTGTACGTTCTACAATTTTCATCGGGACTTCAGATCTTCCATTTCGACTCTGATGGTCTTTTGGTAATCTAGCTTCTATTCCTCTGATTCTAGACATTATTCCCGGAATATTTAAATGCACATTTTAAGAATATAATAAGGCACAACACGACACACTACATATAAAATGTATTGAAGCCAATTGAATGAAACCTAAAAGATAAACAATAAAATAACCTCAAACAATATCAGCAATTTTTTAAAACACAGATAATACTACTCAAATACTACTCTTTGTCACAGACCACATTAAACTAGTCAGGATTTATGCTACCACATATTAAGGATTATTTACTACGAATTTGTTAAAGCCTTATAATATTGTTCAGGAAATTATTCCTTAATAATTTAGTATGATTATTATTGCACCCCAACCAGGAAAACTTCAATTTGTTGTTTAATAATATAATTAGGCGTTTTTTTTACTTTTTTTTATTGACATTGCTATTTAAATAATTGTGTATATAATTACTTGCATCCCATTACACAATCAGCATTTTTGGATTAGGATAAGCAAATTTTTTTTTTTTGTCCCTTGTTCGAATTTTCTGCGATTTTTTCTCTGAAGAGGATATAGTGGTGTCAAAACGGCTTTTATTTGAATCAGTGCCTACTGCAAAACGTGTAAGTCGAAAAATAAAGGAAAAAGCGTGCGTGATATCGACGACATAATAAGTCTATTGAAGCAAACTGATTTTGAACTAGTGCCTACCTTTGTAGCTCGCGACCTACCAAAATTACCACCGGTAACCTTTGACCACGTCGATGTGATATTGTTGAAGGACATCATTTTATTACAAGTACAAGTAAGGTCATTCCCAAAGGAGCCTGTTACATCTACCTAGCTTTTGGAGCTCAAATATGAAATTGGAGCAAGATTCTTTTTTAATTTTAGCTACAGGAGTGCAATTCAATATATCACCATCGTTGATTTTGTGACCTATTATAGAAGAACACTGGTTACATTAGGCTTATCAGATTCTTATTTCATTTTCAGGGATGCCATGTATTTACAAATTGTCTGCTGGCGAATTTTATTCAACATTTTTCAGTCTCTCAGTAACATCCACAATAGTAGTTTTGTTATCTGTTATCAATTTCACAATCTGCTGATTCATTCATCATTCATATACTGTGTGCTAAGAAATGAAACTGAATTAGTAAAGTTCCTGAAAAACATGACCTGTTTAATAATAACAAGCTCAGACTTTAGAATTTCCTTAAACATTGATGACATAAGTTCCTTGATCGCCTCTTTAACCTAATCCTTAACGGATATATGTCAACAACGATCAGAAAACTCATAGGATTCGTTTGGAAGTAGGAGTATCGAAAGAAGGAAACAGATTTTAACTCCGAAGGGTAACATGCAAAGAGTATTATTATGGTAACATGTTTCATATTGCATATAATCTTTCCCACTTTTGGCTTCCTACTTTGACATCCTTGACATATCCATTTGTTTTTGTGTTCCTTGTTCATTGTATTACGAAACCGAAAAGTTGGCACATTAGTACAATCTAGATCAAATATTTGTAAATACTTATTAAATTCTCTCTAGTTTCTATAGGGCATTAAGTCCGCGTATATAATCATTTTAGATGTCATTATTGTATTTTTTATTTTTAACCACTACTCTATTAACATAAAGAAGCGGAATTGGCATTCCTACGAAAAAAGCGTATTAGTATGCCTAAAGATGCAAATTCATAGGGTGGGCGCGACACATGATATCGATAATTGTATCAACATTGAATTCTTATTAAATAGAAGTTAGTATTTCTTGAAACTGCTACTAAACTACTTCTGATTAAATAATCTAATATAATTTATTTTGTTAGAGATATGGCTAAACTAAAACCTATTACACTTCTATTAATTTCACACTTACGTACCAAATAAATACTCGTGTTCTTAAAATTGTTTTCTTTAAAGCGGCCGTGAATTTATCAATCTAATTATGTATTTCTAAGCTGCATCTAGATGCGTCATGCTTCCGCGATATATAGTGATGTTCACTCGTGTAAGAGTTAAAAAAGCGCTCTAGTGACTCGAGTCGCAACACTAGTGTTGTATCATTTTAGCGTCCAGCGTGTAAACTAACACATTTTTCTCTCTTAACGATTAACACGGCCAAGTAGGTATACGCGAAGGCGCTAAGATTTTCACGATTCATGCGTGAAATTCCAAAACGATTCAACGAATGAACGAAACTAGGCAGCGACCGGCCGCGCAGTTAACGCGTGAGCGCGATCGTTGGCAGACGCGATCCAATCTGTTGTGTTTTATTTAACAAAGCTTACTAAGTCGATATTTTAATACTTAAGAAGCTTGACTATGTGTTATTCTGTATAAGTTCAAAGAAGTTTATGTGTGTATACAGATTATAAATTGTTTAATATAATTATACTGTGAGTAAATAATGTGAATAAAATATATGATAGCAAATGTACATAGTAGATTCTTATACATAAATCAATGATCTTTTAAATACGTCTTTAATGAGGAAGTATTTAAAAAAATAAAGAAACTACAAAATTTTTTGTCACTAGATGGCAGCACAAATTGTTGGATCTAAACGTCAATTCATGACGTTAAACCAAAGAGAATAGAATTGTCAGTGTTGTCATGGATCTGATAACTCGGATTAATATCGTGTTGAAATTTAACTACTTTTCTTTCTTCTTCGAAAAGCCATTAATAAAAGAAGAAGAAAGAAAAGTTAAGAAATTTAACTAGTAATTCGAGTTATGCAAAAGCAACTCGAATAATACAAAGTAATCTTTGAATAAAATTATTTTTTATTTGTATAGAGAAAAATGGAAACTAACATAATGGAAGTGAGCACAGAGGTTTTTTAAATTTACTGAAATCAATTGAATTGCTACGGTATACAATAATATTACTGCCAAGTAGTTTTTATAAATAAAATAGGTACTAATACCATAGTAGGTCTAGGAATTTTCATTATAATATTTAACAAAAGTTCTGAAAATAATAACAACTAGGTAAATTAATTTTATTGCTATTAGTTGTTTGTTGAACTTATAGCAACAAAACTTCATCAAGTCTCAATAATATTTTTATATTGTGTATGGTGAATGGATGAATAGGGTTTATTAATCAGCAACAAAACTCATGAAAACGATAATTATAATTAAAAATCCATTAATTATCTATATACTACCCGTGTATCAAATATAATATGTATTCGTACAAAATAACATGACTGCTGGCTAAAATGACGTTTGTGCAAAGTGTAATGTGCAAATAACTTGTGCTTCCGAAATTAAGACTTTAAAAAACTATGATCAGTTATTAAGTCTTATATTCATAACTAAATCATCTAAATAAACATTCAGCAATCAACAAGAAACGTCTGTTCTAAACGAACAGCAAAGTTATAACTTTAAATTTTAAAATTACAAAGACTCGTACAATTATTATACTATTGCTACTGATCTTGCATGTCAACGGTGGACATCGAGCCATGTGTTAAGTTGAAAATCGTGTGCGTTATGTGGTTACGTTCCCTCAAATAGAGTATAGATGAGTTGTATAGTTGAAATTAAAAAACCAGCCCTTGCTGAGTTTCTTGCCGATTCTTGTCAGTACGAGATCTCCCGTCTTAGTTTTGCGAACCATTGGTAAAATTTTCGACTTTCATAAGTACTATGTAACAGGCTTGACTGAATTGATTTTGATATTTATATTAATATCTTTCGTTTTGTTGATGCATAATGACACTTCATCTTCATCATCATTTTTTTCTTCATTCCAAAACTGAATTCGAATGAAAATTACGAGCAACCAATAAGTTGGCTCATCACTAATGTTGACGTAACAACCAAACATTGTTCCTTTACACGTAACATAATAAACAACTTAAAACGATGAAACACAAAACGATGTCATATTTATTAATTTTCGATACTCAATTTACTTTTATTGCGTCAGAAACAAAATTTTAATGAATATCATAAACAAAATCCGAAAATCGCGAGTGACATCTAGTATGATTTCAAGAACTAATTTTTATTTTTTAAATACTTCCTCATTGAATTATAGGCGATGCTTAGCCTGAAATGTATGAAGGGGAGTGTATCGATTTTCTTTTAATTTAGAGAGACCGGTATAATTTATTTCAAACTATTTAGACTAAATATTAATGAGTTATTGTTTAATATAACACGTAATCGATTTAACGTACAATATAAAATACTTAACGTGTTGCAAGGTTTAGCGTGCTACAAAATGTTACGAGGCTTTACGCACCCTGAAGTTTCTTTGAATTAACGCGTTTATAAATTAGCGCCTCCATTTACACGTTAAAAATATATCATGAATCTATAGCGCGTTAATGATTTTTAGTCGATTTGAACAACTCTGATTGAAATGTCATTTGTCAATACCTACTTAGTCTGTGATGTGAACGCATTTCTGACAAAATTATTAAACTCTTAATCTTTGCTAAATTAGATATAATTATAAAAAGGCAGTTATTATAAATAAGTTTTTATTTCGAAATAATGCTACTTAAAAGAATAAATATATTATTTACGACAAAGTGCACACGTGTTGTAAGAATACAATACTATTTATACGTTGTGTTACTTGCTTCCATTTAATATATTTTTTTTAAATGTAAAATAAAGTTGAATGTAAATTTATTGCATTTTGAATTACAGGTAAATTATGTTACTAAAGCACCAAAACCAGAGATCCCAAAAAATCCATTAAAAAATGTATATTCCGCATCAGATCAGAAAGAGAATGGGGTTGTGTATGACAGAAAACCTTTCAAGTTAACATTGCAAGAAGGCAAAACATATAGTTGGTGTCTCTGTGGTCGTTCTAAGTCACAGCCCCTCTGTGATGGTACACATAAAGATATTTATCTAAAGATAACACAAAGGTATTAATTAGTTTATATGTAAACACTGACTGTGAAGAAGGAATTGTGTAAGGAATTGTATATACTGCATGTTAATATCAGTTGATAAAATAGTTTTGTTTTTATATTTTTCAGACCTATTCGGTTTACTGTAGAAAAAACAAAGGAATATTGGCTATGTAACTGTAAGCAAACTAAAAATAGACCATTTTGTGATGGAACACATAAGCAAAAAGAAGTTCAAGATGCTACATCGATTAAAGTGTAGAAATAAAATCAGTTATTATTAGAACCTGTAACATTAACTTGACTCCATAAGTAGTAATTCTTGTTGGGATCATTAGGTTTTTGGTACACAAAAGATAAAAACAAGTTATGTAAATGTAGAATAAGATGTTGAATAAAAGTTTTATGTAAAATATAAACATTTATTTTTATTATTTTTTGAATTATATTTTAGATAAAATAGTGGTAGATTGACTATTTAGATTATTCAATCTAATTATTAAAGTTTAAATTACTCATCTCAATGAGCTTTCAAATGATCATAACTCTGTAATTTGGATATTTTGATTTATTTTTATTTAGAGATTAATAATAAAATTATTTACTTCTACTGTGAGGCAGCGAGAATTGAAATAAAGTTGATATTTATATTCTTATCATGATTTTTAAAATTATTTGATAAAAATAAAAATCTTTTATGTGATACCTAGTGTGAAACCAAAATCAATTATTACAATAGAACTGAAGAAATAAATTTATAAACAATCAAATCTATAAACTACAAAGTGCGCAGGAAGGGGGGGGGGGGGGGGCAGGAGTGTCAAGACGCTAGATCAAGTTTTTTTTTTTTTTTTATCATATGACAGGCACGGCTTGTGCATTTTGCCAATGTCAAGTAAAAAATTTGGGAAACGAATAGGAAAGAAATCGGATAAGGAAGGATGGGATCAGGAATGTATGGTATTTATAATCTTAAATATACTTTATATATTATCATTTTTTACAATTTTATATTATTGAGTATGAGATATGATATGATACATTTATATATTGATTGATCATAAGTATGTAATAGTGTAGCTATGTTAGTCGGGAATGGAACACGAAGGGATGTTAGGTCTTGCCAGAGGGAGGATCTTTGGAATTTAGGACAGGAGAAAATAATATGATTAGCTGTTCCTTCATCTGATCCACAGTCACACCTAGGATCGTTGATTATATGGAGTTTAGCTAAATGAGAAGGCGCAGAAGAAAAAAGTAGATCCGGGCAACGTTTTATTATGAGACACGTCAAAACAAAATAGGCACAGACTTTGTCAGCCATGTGATTTCTGTGCTATAATATGTCACCTATAAATGTTACGTTTGAAAACCACGTAAACTATTGTTTTATAGTAGCGTAACATTTTTAGAATTATACAGCATACCTCTTGTTAGAACGAGGCATAAACGTATCAACTCGCATTGACTTAAACATTTCAGTGTTTTAATGTGTAAGGGTAAAAAACAAAATTCTATTTAGTCCGTCAGTCAGATAATAGAAAAATATTAGATAAGTATTTTATTTACTTCAATTTAACAAGAAATTATGGAAAACATCGATGTTTTTTGATTCGATAAATCGGAACTGTACATCGATGTCTTTCGATGTATCGATTTAAACATCGATATTTTGTAGACATCGAGTATTTTTTTAATGATAATGAGACAGTTTATGTATTTCTGTTGACACTATAACAATAAATACCAAGAAATATAATTAACAGGACACATAAAATATACTACTTCAACACAACTTTTCATGCCAACCATCACTAATTAATTAATTTTATTAAGTTAATCACATTTTATTGCCAGAATTCTTTTGGGAGACTTTACAAAAACAATAATTTATTTAAACGTTTGCCTTTCAATTTATTTCGTTATTTATTGACGATTTGTGCCGCTTTAGAAAATAAACGTTAAGATGGGACTGAAATTCCTTCCATAGTTAAGTATTTGTATGCAATATTATGAATTTTTCATTTAGTAAATTACTGATTGTGAACAAAGTCGAGGTCTAGAGTGAGGGTCAATAAGAGACTTAAATTTCGCTACTATAGTATTTATTTACGTACACGGGCAAAAAGCCTTTTATTTGGAATATCAATCGTATATATGAATTGTGTGAAAATTAAATCATACCGCGGTTCACAATTGGTAAGCGCCATCTATTATTCGAAATTATAACTAATAATAATATGTAATTATATAACATATACTATTTACTTTAAATTATGTTTAATGTTTTAACTACTTGTATATTTATTGTATTATTTTAAATGCATTTATTTATCTATTTATTATTTCTTTTTATTTAGAGCGTGAACAGATTGTATTAATTCTCTTGTTGACATGATAATAAATAAACTACAACATTATTTTAACCTTACTTATTGTCGAGATTTTATTGTAATGAGATGTAATATACACTATATTAGTATATTATACACGACCCACTTTAATCTTATTTCGTCCACAAAACCAAATGTAATTAAATTCGTTATTTTTTAAACATAAAAGCGCGCCGGCTGACATGAGAAACAGCAAACAGTTTTTTTTTAATTATTAGTTGTCACTGTCACTGACACACTGACTCGTGGGCAGTGTTGCCACCACAATTTTCATCAAACTTGAGTTTTTATAGAAGTTGGTTATAAGTAATCAATTCGATGTATTGTTAATAAAATTATCGATACACCGAGTATATCGAAAGCATTTCAAAATATCGGATCAATTCGATGTATCGAACAGTTAACATCGATATTTTTAATACATCGATGTATATCGAATATCCCTACAAGAAATAGATAACGGCCATTAAAGTTGAAAAGTGGGGGTTCGATACGTCACAGTTTTGTAGAAAATGACGTCATGACGTGATGTGACATGTGGTATTTTTATTCAATTGTTTAATATTGCTCAACAATAGTAGATTGTCGGAAACGAACGAGTTGTTGACAGACAAAGAAAAAAAAATAGGCGTCATTCGATACCTTTATCCCTATTATATTTTTTTCTCATACTTATACTGTTTTTGGGACCGCATGTAGGTACCAATTTTAGTTAGCAAATCTACCGATTTTGCTCCCACGACGTAGTGTTCAAATACTCTTTGATTACTGCTCTGTCAGTTGGTGTTAGTCAGTGTCAGTTGGTGTCAGTTAGACGTTGGATGGGCGGACGTGGACGTAGTCGTTTATTTAACTTCAGGTGTAAATTGAATTTAAATAATGGGAGACCAAGTAAAACTGTTCACCCGTGAAGAACTGAAATCCCGCAACCAGCGTAGCGATGCCGTCCTCATCATCCACAACGCCGTTTATGATGTCACTAAGTTCCTAGAGGAGGTATGTCCCACCAATTCAATCAGAATCCATCATTAATCAATTTCCGGTTTACTTGATTCCAATACATTACATTTAAAGGTTAAATAAAAGTGAAGTTGAAGTGTAAATATTTTGTTAGACATATCATATGTAACTTAGTTGGTCCCAATGCTGCTAGGTCCCTGTTTTTAGCTGACTGATAGACCTTGTCCATTAAGTATACCTATTTATCTAAAAGTAAATGCATGTATAAGTAAGTAATATGTTAATTATATTTGTTAGTAATTTATTTCTCAAAAATTTGCTTGGTATACCTTTACAAAATCCTATGGTCCTATGATCTTTAAAAAAACTATTATTGAAAGCAGACTACACTCGCTCACTCTTGAAAATATACCTAGTAATTTAACCTCACTTTACAAAGATTTTTTGCGAGACAGTATTATTTGCAGATGACACCTCTTTAGTGTGTAAAGTTAAGAGGGGTAATGATTGTTTTAACGATGTAAATGATGCTCTCAACAATGTTCTACAGTGGTTTGATAATAATAATTTAAAGTTAAATTCAAATATAACGAAAGGCATAAAGTTTGCATTACCTAATGTGAGGCATGTTAGTATATGTGTAAACAGTGAAAAAGTTTAGTTGCTAGAATCAACAAAGTTCCTTGGTATTACACTAGATTCTCGACTGCAGAGGGATTCCCATATTAATAACTTATCAAATAGACTGAGTTCTGCAGCTTTTGCTGTTAAGAAAATTAGACCCTTGTGTTCAAGGCAAGATTGCTATATTTCAGTTATTTTCATAGTATGGTCGATTATTATAGGGTCTATCCTCACTATATAATAATTTAGGGTCTAGGGAATCTCTCAGAGAAATATTTAAAGAAATAAAAATTTTGACTGTTGCCTCTCAAACATCTATAAAAATATTTATATATGTAAGAAAATATAATGATTCCTTCATAAAAAAAAGTAGTGTTCATAATCTTAACACAAGAAATAAAAATAAACTTGCCGTTCCAAGTTTCAGACTTCAAAAACCAGAGGATCATTTCTTGGTAAATGCTTTGCTCTGTTCAATTAAGTTTCACAAAATGTAATTGACCTACCCATAAATACATTTTAAATTCATGTAAAGAACATACTTATGAGTAAAAGCTATTATTATAAAGTATATGATTATTTTATGGACAGCAACGCATGGAATTCAGGTAAATTTTACACGAAATTTTAACATACATTTTTAATTAATTATCTCATTTTAAACATATTTACTCCATTTCAGATTTTAAAGCACAAAAACTATACTAACTATTAAATTTAAAAACTAAGATTTGGAAATTACAATGAGAAAATCAATTAAGTGGTCATTACAATGGCTTAATTTTTGTGCCGTAGTGGACCATGTGATGTTGAATAGACTTTATACATAGCCCCAATCTACTTTAATGTATAAACTTTTAAATATTTAATATTAATCTTAACCTAAAATACAATTACGTATTTGTAATATTTTTATCAATGTTCAGACAATCTACCCAAACATTGAAAATTCTAATATTTGTAAAAATATTTATTTTGGCTGTTTGGTTGGATTGCCAGAAGATTGATGAAAATACGCTCTGTAGTAGCGGAAATAGTAACAAGTGTAACAAAAATTTATCAAATATAATCAATAAAAAAATACTTATAAAACTCTTGGTTTTAGTCAGACGTCCTAATTTTAGAACGGAACCAGTCGAGCTAATATGCCCAAAGAAAACGAAACTGGCTAATTCCAAAAATAATACTTCAATGGGACTTTATAAAGTACCTGCAGAAATGTGGAAGAGCGTCGAAAGTGTGGGTGTGGTGTGGCTTACAATTCTTTGCAATAAAATTTTGTCAAGTCGTTGCATACTAAACAGTTAAGTCTAGCAATTTAGAACCGATATATAAGAACAAAAATGATGTGGCAAATTATGGGAACCATGGAAGGATAGAAGGAAAGGAATAAATATTGCTGAGGAAAGCAAGATCTACATCTTGTGTTTATCGATCTAGAAAATGCCTTTGATTGAGTCCCCATAGAACGAATCTGGTAAGCGTTAAGGGCTCTTCAACCAATTCCAAAAACTACATAGAGCTAACATAGGACAAGTAACATAGGACAATTGGACAGCCGCTATAGAAGCGAGAGCAACGCGGCCACGACGAAGGTTTTCTTTCCCAGTGGAGAGAAGGCCTTCGGCGTCGTACGAAAAATGAGAATTGAAAGGTGGGCTGCACAACTGCTAACGGGGCATGGAGGGTTTAGATCCTACCTCTATAAATATAAATAAAGCAAGGATACCCCATATTGCGAATGCGACCCCCAAATAGAGCAGGATGTATTCCATTTTTTACTGGAATGCCCAATTTTAAACGTAGATAGGCACACTCTACAATCACACATAGATACACAACTTAGTAGACCAAACCTGGAAAATATAAAAGAAAGAGACATATTTGTAAAGTATGCTTGTAAGATAATAGAGAAGATAGTGAAAAGAAATAAAGATTAATTGAATAGATGGAACACAAACAGCAAAGAAAATCTGTGATATTAGAAATAAGAAGTAACCCGTAAAATAACAATATATATATGTAAGTTAAAAATAAAAAATATTAACCAAATAGGAATATAAAAATATAAATGTAAAGTGATCAGATATAATTGTAAATAGAATTAAGAAAAATGTAAAATAATATAAGAAAAAGATGTAATATTTAGATAAGAAAAATGTAGTAGACAATAAGAAAAGCCAAAAGAGGGAAAAAAGAGCGATCCCCATAACAACAGATAAAACATATCTGTCTAAAGAAAATAAAACACAAAAAAGACAACCTGCTCAAAAGTGGGGGAACCTGCATTAAAAAAAAGCAAAAAAAAAAACAGGACAAGTACAAAGACATTACGACACGTGTCATTAGACCTGCTGGAGCAACTGATGAGTTCGAGGCCAAGGTTGGGGTGCATCAGGGCTCTGCCCTCAATCCCTTGCTGTTAACCTTGTTGTGGACTACATCACAAAAGATCTCCAAAAGTCCGCACCGTGGACTATTCTTTATGCAGATGTCATCAGTTTAAGAGCTGCAGAAAGATTTAAAAAATTGGATAGGTGTTTTGAAACTTTTGTATTTGTGACTTTGAATAAATAAAGCCCTAAAATATATAAGGAACACTTTATTTCAAGATCAGCCATTAAACGAGAGAGAGAGAGAGATCTTTATAACATAAAACTTATTAGTTCACAAAGGCATTCTCTTTTACAGCCATATAATACAGAAACGGCATAGATTAAAGGTTAGTTGACAGAAAACGGAGTATATGGTATGTGATTTCTCGAAAGGAACAAAATAATACCAAAAATCGATAGCTTAATGGCGTGGACTCCTTTAAATTTTTGGGCTCAATAGTAGCACCAAAGCACAGAATTACAGCAGCTTAGTTAAGATGAAGAGCTCTTTCAGGCACTCTGTGCGATACCCGAATGGCTGTAAAAACGAAAATCATGGTATATAAGCAATCTATAAGGCCCGCACTACTACACGGCTAGTAAGTAGGTGAGTAACACGAAGTATAAGTGATAGTGACATTAGTGCACGGTGGGAAGGGTTAAATTACTTTGACTGTTGAATATGGATTCCGTTGGATCATAGTTCATGGCGAGTAGCCATTTCTTTATTTTAGTTTTGGCTTCGTTAAGAGAGTGGGTAGAAATCGTTTTTTTTTTGTTAATTCTATTGTAATAGAGCCTAGATAGGAATTTGTGCTCGCGACACACAAAAGCCGTTCGGTGTTTTGTGAGACTGCACACGTTAGCTATGGTACGCTTATTTTTATAAAGTTTAGCATCAAAATGAGTAACTTTGTGTTGTTTTAACAGTATTTGTAAAATGTATAATCGCTTAATAGTTAAAAGTTTACAATTCTCGTAACCTAGTCGGGAATCTTAAAAGGCTGAAGGTTATGACTTTAAGTATTGATCTTTGTGCTCTTTCTAAGATAAGTAGTGGTGTCTTGCAAGCACCATCCCATACAATGATACAGTAATTTATAATTTTTGGATTAGAGACTCTTTAAGGGAGAAATTTAAGGAAATAGATATAATGACTGTGGTTACGTTCGTAAAAATTATAGATTGTTTTTTATAAAAAGTGAATGTATACAATTTTGATACAAGAAATAAAAATAAATAAACTGTGCCTGTCACTAGACTGCAAAAAGTTAATAACTCATTCAGAGGTCTTTGTGTGCGTTTCTACAATAAGGTCCCAAGGAAAATACAACAATTAAATACCATGCAGTTTAATTTTACTATTAAAAAACTTTTATAAAGTATCTGATTATATAATAGATAAGAATGCTTGGACTTAAAATGGTCCAATAACTAGATAGGTGATTTTTTATAAACTCATTATAATTATCTCAAAAAATATTTTGGTGCCATTATTATGTTCATAATAAGACCATAGTTTTCTTTTTCTCTGTATTTATAATGTATTGATCTGGTACTGAAATGGATTTGTGAATGCCGGTACTCCTATTAGAGCTGGTGAGTTTCTAGCTCGTTCTTCTTATCAGCCAAAAGATGTCCTGAAAGAGTGGTAGGAAAAAAAATGTTGGACGATTCAAAAGTACTTTAAAGTAGTCTATTTGAATAAGAATTATTTTGACTTTGACTATGACTAAAGGCCGTAGACGTCCGCCGACGCCCTATGGTCTAGATAACAACTATAAGAAACGATATGAGGACGGTGGATGTTGATACGAGTATGACTCAAGATCAAGCCTTGTGACGAGGTTGCACAAGGAGTACTGACCCCATATAATATCTATAATAAAGCAAGGTCGAATAAGATGAATTCTAAAAGTGTTTAGTCATGTCCTTACACATCCAAATTATTTATGAAAAATAGTAGATTAAGTATGATTTGAACCTTTTGCGAAATTTTTAGATTATACCTATAAGCGAAATTAGTGTAAAGCCTACATTAGATGTGACATTCTATTAGTACTTGACTATTAAAACTATTTCATTGGAAATACAGTCCCGCTCTATATGTATCCAGGATAGATCTAGCGGTACTTATAGTGATTATTATATTGAGTGCATTATGCGGGCGGTCGCTGTCACAGGCTTGGAATTTCTCATTTAGCTGAATGAGTACATACTATTGAATTCCGGGGCGGCGAATGAACGCACCGAGCACCGCATATCTACGCGTGCGTTCATGGACTGAAAAGAACGTTTCTCTGTTGTAAGCAGGGTTCGCAAAAATTCGATATTTATAGTAAATATCAAAATTTCCGATATTTACAGATACAGTGACTTTATTTAATATTTGATCTTTTAAATAAAAAATGTGTGATATAATTAAAAAGTAGTACGCGAGCGAGGATTTCCAGTAACGTATGGGGAAATACCCGATATTTCTAGTTAGTAAGATTGCTACTTCGAGCCAATGTTGCTAGCGTCACATCGGGTTGGTTAATTTTATAGCTGAGACTGAATACTCAAACTAACAAGAAACATTATAAACTAGCTTTCCGCTCGCGGCTTCGCCCGCGTTGTCGTGTATTATACAAAAAAACAAATCAAAATTCGTTGCGAAGTTTTAAAGATTTAACCATATGGATATAGGGACAGAGAAAGCTACTTTGTTTAATACAACGGACCGTGCAGCAGAAATCGTAATATTTTAATTTCGCCATAACTTCAAACCCAAACGTCCAATTTTAATCATTCAAAGACCAAATACTATCTACATAAACTGTTATTTATTTTGATAAGGATTGATAGCATTAGTAAAATAAACGCTTTTAAATGTAGTCCAATAAAAAAATAATATAGTGTGTCGCGGACTTTTTTGTAGATATTTATAAGATCTACAATTAATTAGAACATTTTATGGTTCTATCTTTATAGTTTAGGCAGCGTACGCAAAATAAGTAACTTTTCTGGTTGATTTTTTACACCTTGTGTCCGAAAAACCCAAATATCTTTTTCCAAAATAAAATATAGCCTATGTTACTCGTGGATAATGTAGCTTTCGAATGGTGAAAGGTTTTTTAAAATCGTCCAATAGTTTTTGGAACTATTCATTACAAACAAAGTTTTCCTCTTTATAATATTAGTATAAATATCAATTAATATACAACGTGTCCCAAAATTCAACGATAAGCGGGCGCCAAGAGGTACCGTTGCTCATGTGTACTTATGGAAAAATAAGAAAAAAATTATATCTTATTAATCTTTTTTATTATAAAATAAAATTCGAAAATTTACACCTTTTATGATATTTTCAACTACCACGACCACAACTTCTCAATTATGTTCAATCTTTTTTTGGTAACGGATACCTAAGTAGCACTACTATTCGCTACAACTGTTAAAAACACCAAAATGCCCACAGTATTTACACAAAAAACAATCAAAATGTATTTTTTTCCTTAAATTTTCACAGATTTTTACGTTCCATAATTTTTGACTCAGTCATTTAGAAAAAAAGTATGGCTCATGAAGATTCCATAATGGTATAATACTTCATGATAACTAGCAACAAACTAAAAATCATACCATTTAGAATCAAGAACCAAAGTTGTGAGTAATAAATTGTACTGTTCCGAAATGTTTTAATATTTAAAAAAAATATTGAAATAAAACAATGGTGAGTTTTAGTCTCATTCATTTATTAATAATTAACATTACAGTAAATGTTCAAATTGTTTTCCACCGGCATTAATACATGCACGACATCGCCTTAAAAAAGAGCGTTTTATTTTTCGTGCATACCTTTTAGCATTGATATGTGACGCAGCCTGACTAATTTTTTGCCGAAGCTCGTCCAATGTCGTAATGGATTTTTCATAGATTTGTCTTTGAGAC